TTTAAAGCGGAAAATGCCTTTGATCCTTATCAAATATTACAAACAAAATTAATGCTCTGAGCATTCAGTTTTCGGTAAACGCAAGCCGCAGTTTGCTCAAATCATTATAATCGCTCTCTTCGAAGGCAAAAGAAAACTATCGTGTTCAGGCCGCCATTTTCTCCTCCAAGAAGTTCACGTCTACGGGGGGTGTTTACAGGAAATGGTTCCGTTAAAATACCGCTTCCTCAGAATAATACAGTTCTATCTGCTCTGTACCTAGTTTTGAGAAATTTGACGTCAAAGATTTGCGTTGAACATCATGTCAAGCTTTTTCGAATGCAATTCTTTGAATATCTTGATAACGACTCCGAATAATCTTATGATTTTGGTAGAGCGGATATAATATTTGGTTTCTGACCTTTTGGTCGTAATTCAAAACAGCCAGAAATGTGTGATAGAACGTTGTAATCCTGAGCTAGCGATATGTCTGCAGACCCACTAAGTGGGTAGTTGACGGTTACTCTGGTGTAGTTTACTCCTTCTTTCCTGTCGAACATCTATCGTCTTTATTTCTCCTCCTTTTTTATCGGCACTTATATGATCTAGAATCTATTTGTGTTGCAAGTGGGGTAAAACTCTTACTAAAACTAAGGACCTGCAAAATGTCTGTCTACCCTCTGAAATTAGGATAGCCTATATTTTTCGAGGCCGAAAGATGCAAAATGTGAAAAATGTGAAATATCATTACCAGCTTTAAAAGAATAGAAGAAATTAAATCCAGGTTGGCAATTTTAGCAGTACATAATTATATGCCAACTCCTAACGCATTTTTGGAGAGGCTATATACACAGCCGTAGATTCCAGAAGTGAGACTTGAGAGTAATAACACATCGTTGTAATTATTGATGTACACGTTTAATATTAGTGAGCAGATGTGAATTCGGATGTGTACCATGATAACCTTGTTGCGATTGAAAGCGGTTTTATACATACTTGTACTAGCGGCATGTGTTTTTCGTAGAAGTTGTTTATAGTGCAATTGATATGGCAACATTTAATTACATTTGTACTTCCTAGTGAAAACACAATACAAACCATCTCTCTCTCTCTCTCTCTCTCTCTCTCTCTCTCTCTCTCTCTCTCTCTCCATCTCCCTCCCTGAATCGGCGTCTGTGGTGTAGCGGTAAGGCGCTTGATCGCTGTCGGACGGGGAAGACATGTGTTCGATTCCTGTGTGGGGAGTTTTCTAAAAAATGTACACGTATCTCTGTTAGTCTTTTGGAACTTTGCATTCCTCTCGTTTCTTTCTTCTTTTTGTGTTTTTAGCAATAAATAATCCGCTGCCGACTTGCTAGGCCTGTCACAGTTTCACCAGAGCCCTTTAGCCTGCAACTTTTCGGGGTGACCCGGGTTTTCCTTCACGGCTAGCGTGACGCCTGAGTGGCATAAACTCTGTAATCCGAGAAATGGTGAGCACAAATAATATCATGCATCACATCCAACACCAAAAAAAATCAAATGGTTCGGACATCTCCTACGATTACCAACGCACCGCCTAGCATTCCTCTCGTTTCTTTCTTCTTTTTGTGTTTTTAGCAATAAATAATCCGCTGCCGACTTGCTAGGCCTGTCACAGTTTCACCAGAGCCCTTTAGCCTGCAACTTTTCGGGGTGACCCGGGTTTTCCTTCACGGCTAGCGTGACGCCTGAGTGGCATAAACTCTGTAATCCGAGAAATGGTGAGCACAAATAATATCATGCATCACATCCAACACCAAAAAATCAAATGGTTCGGACATCTCCTACGATTACCAACACACCGCCTAGCACAGCGTGCCTACCTCCAAAAATTCGATGGCAACAAGGCTAGAGGGCGACCGAGAAAGTCCTGGATAGATGGATTCAGGGAAAAATTAAACACCCACGGCATCCCCCTGACCCAAGCTCTCCGGCTGGCGACAGAGAGACGTCTCTTTCTTCCCGCGACACCCAAAAGGGTATAAGCGGCGGATAAAAGTAAAGTAAAGCATTCCTCTCGACCTAGGTTGGCCCTGACAGGCAAGGCCTGAGCAGCCCACCTGCTAAATGATTGTAATTGTGTCGATGGGGATGTGGCATATTATGCAATATGTGCAGTTGCATATCTTCTCTCTCTGTTTTAGTTTTAAGTTTTAGTAGAGGTTTTACGGCGCCCGCAATTGCATAAGGTCATAATATAGGCGCCAGAAGAATAAAGGTGTTACAAGAGAGATAAGCATGATAGATGTTGGATAGGAAAGAAGAAGCAAACCCCACCAGAGCACCCGCCGACCACCCATCCTCTGTCTGCCTGTCTAACTCCTTTTGAATCCCTAAAAGGACTTTAAAAAAAAAAAAGTAACTATCGGTACTGTTGAGGACGTTTATTTTCTAACTCAATAAATATAGAAAGAAGTCATATCGAACAATCTTTGGTTATATGTTATAGTGTGTACTTTACTCAACTCTATCAAGGTGAGGGACTATGTGTTCAATACAC